ATGTTCGTATTATGAATGTATATACATTTTTGCTTATTGTTAAATATAATTGAGATAAAAATTGTGGGGTATTGGACACTAGATCGGAAGGTGTGGTGGAGTGTTAAGTAATCTTTTATTTTAATCAGAAGTTTAGATTTGATCTCCTTTGGATATGGAGTCGTCTTTGTTAGGGGAGTGTTTTACATCATTTTGAGACTTTTTTATGCGAATTTGGACTTAATTGGACTTTAATTTTGAGTCTCTTTGGGACACAAGTCATTTTTGTTAGTATTCCTAAAGTGAACTTGAATTTAGTCAAATTTTAATGTGGTTACCTGACACTGAGATGAAAAACAAAAAGAAACAATTAAAATGAAAATTTGCATATTCTTCATCAAACTTCTTATTCTTTCCCCCTACCTCTTTATGTTTCTTTTCATGATATGAATACTTATCATTCGAGCAGCTCTCTTCTTTGGATAAAAAGAGTCCAATAGCAAAAAAGGGTGAGTTAGTAGGGAAATGTGCAACTCTACATGGAATATTGTGAAAGTGTATTGAACCACTTTAGTTCCTTATGGAAGAAAAAAGTGCTCAATATAGGGCTTTTTTCATACTCTTCTTATCCCTTTCATCTTTTTTATTTTTTCCTTTGATGAGTTTTTGTAATGTTATGGTCAAAGATATTAGGGACCCAAACATGCCCTAGAGATCTTCTCTTTCACATCTCATTCAAATGAAAAGATTTTGAGTTTGAATCATAAGAGTATCATACATATTTTAGATAGACAATATTTTATTTTAAAGAAAACAAAATTTTCCAGCACGACTTCAAATTAGATAAATGGACTTTATTAGGGTGGCACTTTGGCTGTAATGATTGTCCATTAACCTTCATTTGGTTCTTGGTTTAAGTAATAAAAAAGCTTAGCTGTTATTTTGGATTGTGATTAAAATAAAAAAAAATGGGGAAAGAGTATATGTGAAGCACTAAATAGCGGTCATTTATGGAGAAATGTGTAACATTATAATGCTTCGTAGAATGTTGCCCATATAGGACGGAGGTGGAAGTGTAAACAAGACTCTTTGGTATTCAAGATGCTCCATACTTGACTTTTCCTTTTTCCAATGTTTCATGTTTTTAAAATTTGAAAAATGATACTACTTCCTCCTCTGTTTCAATTTATCTGATGTTGTTTAATTTGACTTTGAGTTTAAAAAGTATTGAAAAACTTTTTGAATTTTTGGATATAACATTTTAACACATAAATTTTGTTCATAAACATAAATATGTGTAATTTATTTTGAAACCGACTAAAGAAAAATGTGTCACATAAATTGAAACGGTGGAATGAGTCCCTTAATTCAAATAATTTTTATTTTTATTTATTCAATATAAAACATAAGATAGTTTAATTTATCATTTTATATCTATTTTATTCTTACTATTTAATAGTATTAATTATTTCAAAGATTGAGATGAGTAATAACTACAGGTAATAAATTTTATTTTCATTATTTTTTAAGAAGCATACCAAATTATACGTGGACAAGTAAATATAGACAAATGGAGTACAAATTTGCCTTCATACAATTGGAAATTGATCAACTTTGCCCTCAATTACACTTATAGTATCACACGTATATATAAACAAACAATTATAGTATCACATAAACTAAAATAAAACAAATGAAGTAGTATATGTGGATTCATATGAAGAGAAAGAAGCCAACAAAGTATATAAATAATATACAAGTTATCTTATAACTGAACTTCACAAAATTTATCGGTCCAAAGCCAGATGGGAACAAGGAGTTCATCAAAACTTCATTCATGAAACATTACACGATGGGTAAAACTATTTTTATGTTTACATAACATACGTTGAATTTCCTCAACTTCTTCATATGCTGAACACTCTTAATGAAAGTTCCGATTCCACCACCAATCCGTCACACTTTAATTACCAATTCAGATGGTAATCCAATGCTCATTTCTTGGTCAGTATGAAATTGATAAACCTTACAAACAAATCTCCCTGCTGCATGACCAACAACAGCCACCAGAAAAAACCTAAAATCTGTAGTAACAATAAACACAACAACCAAATAAGTCATAAACATTCTAAGTCCATGAAAACCAGCTTCTTGTAACAACATTTTAAGGCCTCTCTGTTGTTTCTTAGTACTAAAACTGTACATAGAACAGAATTCAGACATAAATGCCATCAAGAAAATCAAACAGACAGGAAACAAACAGCCCCCTTTAGTCATTTCACAATCAGACCATCCTGGAAATTGTGTTTTTGTGTAAGAAATCCAGTAACTTGAACTTAATGACGATTGTGTTTGGGTTGAATTTGCATTAGTAATGAAATAACTTCGCGATTTCGAAGAAACAGAGTAATTGGTTGAAAACATAACTATGTATCTTAAGTATGTTGTTATGGGAACTTATTAGAACTGAGGTGAATTATAAATAGCAAGAGGAAGATGAAGTAATGAAGTGGAGTAGTAATTTAGAAGCATAATTGGCTATCACAATCATGAAGAGTAACTTGTACTTCTATAAGATCACTAATTAAAGAGCTAATTGCCATAATTTTTCTCTAATATTTTTTATTATGAGATTATCTTGCAAGGATAGAAGCATAATTGGCAATGATAGTCATCACAATCATGAATATTTATTTACTTATCTTGAAAAGTATAGCTCTAATAAGATGTCTAATATGCTATATTGTTCGAGCTCTTAAAAAATATTATGTTAGATATGTCATGTGTCGGATCCTTCAAAATGTCTAATATGCTATGTTGCTCGAATTCTTAAAAAGTACTATATTAGATATGTCATATATGTTGGATCCTTCAAAATATTCACCAATATTGACATCATTTAGAGGATCCAAGCAAACATAGCTGGTATGTATTACTATTAGCTTCCTTTTGCAAAAGGGTGTTTGTCTCACATTTTCACACTCGGTTTGGATTTTGTGCCGAAAAATCTCACATTCGAGAGTAAAGCGTTCTCTAACAAAAGCGACTCTATATACAAAGGGACTTAAACCTAAAACGGTAAAACCTCTAATTAAAGATGAATGAATATTTTTCACTCCACCACAATCTTGTTGGTGCAAAAGGGTGTTTTACCACTACGAAGGAAGATTGTTTTCACAATGGGTGTTTTTTAGTATATTTTCCCTTTATTAGGAAAAATTAGCAAGCTAGTCACAATCATTAACATAATTATTAAAAATATCTACACTTTAAAATAATTATTAAAAATGTCAATATGTCAATATTTTAAAAAATAAATTGAATTCTAATATAATTAATCTTCTTTCCTTTTATTTCTCAAATTAGGCCATTATTTATTTCACTATCCGGTAAAAAAAATAAAAATTCATCACTCACTTACTCTCTCTCTAGGTTTTACCCAAAATCACTCCTTTCTCTCTCTTCTCTTTTTTCACCATTGTTATCTCCTTTCTTTGTTCAAAAAAATTAACTCTTCAAATTTCCTACACTTTGTTTAAAAAATCTCACAATTAATTCAAAAGATTATTCACCCATTGATAAAGTAAATTCGAAGTCAACAAGTATTTTGTGAAGTTTCTTGTGATTTTGTTTTCATATTCACCAAGTATTTTGTATTTCGTATTTTCAGTCTTTTAATCAGTATTGTTTGATTTTTTTGTGAGTTTGTTTTCATATTCACCAAGTATTTTGTGAGATTATCCTCTTTTATGTATTTCAAATTTTTCGTCTATTAAGCAATTTTGTTCGATTTTTTTGTAATTTTATTTTCATATTTGAGATTTAGTAGATTGTAGAAATCTACATTGACATTTATACATCATATATTATTTGACTTTCTATACATTCATTTTTAATAATTTCAAATTTTGCTTATATGGTTACTTATCAACAAGTGAATACGGATTTTCAGATTTGGATTTGTTGAAAAAAAAAAAAAAAAGGAACATAGCAGACGAAGAAGAAGAAGAAGAAAGAGAGAGTCAGAGAAGAAGGTTGCAAAAATTGTATTCATACCAGAATTGTATTCATATTAATTTTGTTTGTCAATTATTTTTCTTTTACTCAACATTTGTATTTGTATTAAGAACATTGTATTACTTTTTTAGTTTGTAGTCATTCCAATAGGTATGCCAAATTAAATTTGTATTTCTTAAGCTTGTATTCTATTTTTTTTCCTAGTTAATTTGTATTCTTTTTAGAATATTGTATCGTCCTCAACAGATTGTATTATTTTCACTATGTATGCTTTTTTTTTTGTCAGAATCTTGTATCCCTATTTCTTTCATAGTTGATTTGTATTTTATTTTTTTGAAATATTGTATTATTTCCACCATGTATGCTATTTTTTTCCCCAGAATCTTGTATCATTTCATAAATCATATTCATATGTGATTGGATTGTATTGAGATACAATCATGTTTACAATTTCACTTGAATACAATTTTAGTTTTCATTATGAAAGTAATATACTAATTTTAATTTGAATGATAAAGAAAGTACACAAAATGTAAAAATTATTGGTATACAATTACAAAGAAAACATAATAATTTTTTTCTCTTTTATGTTACTATTAAATAATTGTATTCTTTTAAATCAAACAAATAAAAAAAATACATAAATCAAATACATAACAAAGTAAAAATATTAACATTTTAAATAAATATTGAAAGTGTGGCTAAGAATTCCTATTAAAATGTCAAAATATTGACATTTTGAAAATTTCCCCTTTATTAGGCAAGTCAATAAAAAGTGATCCTTATTCTCAAATCTATTCTCTCTTCAAAACCATGCCAAACCCCATGATTAACAAATTGAAGTACTAAAATGCATGTTAAATCCTTCAAAAATATATCTTTTTTATTAAGAATCCAATACGGATAATATTTATTATAAAACTATGCACTCAATCAGGCAAAACCAATCAAGAAACTAGAAATAAAAAACAGAAATTGGGCTCCAAAAAAACCCGACCCGATTATCATCTATCCATATCTTTATTGAAAATTGGGCTTCGAAAAACAACGTAACCAACCGCATGGCCCAAAATTGCCGCAAGAAAAACTCCACCATTGTAAGACATAACAGCAAGCATAACCATATAAGCAAACCCGGCTCGAACCGCTTGTACTCCAGCTTGGAAGAAAACCGCTGCAGCCCGGTTCGAACCCGGTTTAACCAACTTCAAATTTGAGAAAAACTCAACAAGAATAGCCAAAACAAAGACAAAAATCAAACCCAAACCGTACATTCCTCTGCTATTTCCAGGCCAATTTGGGAAAAGAAAGAGAGTATTTCTGCCCCAATAGAATGATAAGTGAAAGAGATGATGAGTTCTTGGGTGAATATGAGTTGTTTCGTTTGAGTTAGTCCACGCCATTGGCAATGGTGGAGTATTTGGGTTCATTTAATTAAACCCGGTTCAAGTTCGAGAACCACATTAATGGGGGTTTAAAAAGGATGAAAATGAAATGGAGAAGTGGAGACAAAGTGCATATTGTTTGTCCTTTTTACACGCCCTCTTTCTTCTTTTTTCCTTTAGTTGAAGCAACAGGACAATCTAGTGAAAGATTGATTACCAATAATTCAAAATGTCATCGTAACTAATCTCAGCATTATTAATACTCCATATCATATTCAGTATTATTCTTATGTATTCATACCAAACAACATAAGGGATATAAAAATCAAGTTGAGTATTAGTATGTTGCGATTATTTTTTATGTAGTTTTAATACGATGTATTAGAAATAAAATTTTATGTGAAGTAGTTTGACTCGGTACGGAGTTTAAGGGAAAAAAAAGACTTTTAAAACTTGTGATTCAAAATGAATGATAGAAATTTGTATAGTTGTAAATCATTTCATTAAGGATAAAATAGATATTTTATAGTTAAATTGTTACTTAATATATATAAGTGTGTTATTCTTTTTGTGACTTATTTAAAAGGAAAGTAAGTCACATAAATTAAAATAGAGGGAGTATAAAAATGTGTGTTTACAAAGATACCCTCCATAGATTACAAATCTTTAGCTTTGTAAAATGAGAAATGTCTTGAAAGGAATCTGTATGATAACTATGTCATTAATCAATTTAATATATGTATTGAAATCCTTTATATTACTAATACATTGAAATATATCATATTAGTAATACACAATAGAGTGTGTATGTATATTAACTATGAATAGGCTAAAAAAAAAATCAAACAAAATATTAATAATATATACAATTAATACATACATTATTTTATTAATAATACTCTGCTAAATGACCCCTAAAAAGAGTGTTATGCTAATTGCCTACGCAAATATTAGTCAATAATGCCATCATTAGATTGCATAACTTTTATAAATTACATTTATGATTGCTCCAAGACTCTTCTCTAACCAAATTACTTCAAATCCATCTAAATTTTATTTGTTTAATTTTTACATTTAAACTACATTTGAAAGTATGCATTTTCCTTTTAAAGAAAGAATCGAATGTGCAATTACTTGTTTTGAAGCAATCCTATTTCACCACGCTTTCGGTCTGACAATTGTTCTTCTTTTTCCGACATTAACAATAACAAAGAATTAAATTTAAATAATTACTTATCCAATCACTTAAAATTTAGATAATAATCGTATTATATTTATACATAATTTACAAATAATAAGTGTATAATCTACAACACCATCAACCTACACCGTGATAACTATCACCATCATTATTACTAGCCACTAGCAATAACTATCACTATCACCGTCATCACGACAAACTATCTCCACCATCATAGGAAGCATAAGAGTTTCATTTTTTAAAATCAATAATGATTTAACTTTATTAACTAATATTTAATTAATTTGTATTTGAATTATATCTTTACTATATACACATGAATAGATTATAAACAAACAATCTTAATCATTTAGTGTTCAGATCTAGAAGCAATATTATAATAATTCAGATGTGCATTTAGATTCAGCCGTCTAAATTTTAAGAAAAAAAAAACAAATGAGGCCCTAGAAAAAATTGAGTTGGACCTTGCCATGGCCAATTTGGGCTACTAAAACCAATTTCAGCTGCATAAACTTAGTAATTAACCCACAAATCAATATGGGCCAAACTCAAGAGATTTTGTCTTAGTTGGGCTATGGATTACAATCTCAACCTATAATTGCAAAGAAAAATGGGCCAAGTCTGGAGCCTGTTCCAGGTGGAGCAACTGATAAATTTGAAGGTTACATGTTTCACATCTTATTTATCCAAAAAAATTATTTAGATACTCGAATTATAACATTATATTAAAACTTTGAATTTATAGTCATGTCAGAAAGATCGAAACAAATAAATAATAATGGTCAAATAAGTTCACTATGATTGCAGGTTTCCCTCAGAATTTGATGTTTAATTTCGGTATAATACATAAATATGTCTTTTAATTTAGTTTTAGCTGACATTTATGCCCTCCAACTTTGAGTATGCACAAATTTGTATAAAATTGAATAAGTAGATACACATATCCGGCATAATACGCGTATGACGCTACATATGACACAAAATTGCTATGTAGGATGTCATGTTGGATGAATGTGTCTATTTATTTAATTTTATACAAATTTAAGTGTCTACCTGTACATATCCAAAATTACAGGTCATAGTTATAAACTGGAACCAAGTTAATGATCGTATTAATGTATTATGCCTTTAATTTATGAATGATTGCCTTCTGATACATCATATGCATTTGAAAAACCCAACAATTTTGTTTCCATCAAAGTCTTCTTTACACACACAAAAAGAGTACTTTTTCTCCTTACTATTATGTGACAACTGAAGTACTTTTTCCTGGCAAATTGCAGACTTATAGTTGGGTCCATATATCACAATAATAGAGAAATATTTTTTTTTTTTCTAATAGCAAGTCAAACAGATATGGCCAAGGTAATATTCTAAACGAACATAAAAATTAAAATTGATATTGTTAGATAACGTCATATCCTGCCTATGGAAGTCCACGAAGGGGCTGGTGTGTCTCGAGTCGGGTGATCATGATCAAACTCGATCCTTTTCTGATGGACTTAGTTAAAATAAATAAATTGTGTCCTTATCATCAATTATCAAAGTATAATTTTTGGCATGATAGTAAAAACATGATCTTGACAAATATATTTCCATCGAACTTTCAAATTCCAAAATTAAATGTCCGCAAGGTCTAAGGAGGAGCATATAGTAGAGTTTCGGGACTTTGTTGAGGCATCAAATAATTGAAGTAATTATGACAAAAATCAGTGTAGACGAGGCATCATGACAATTATATCTAACCATTTGATCAGGATGCAAAATATAAAAAGTAAACATACAAACGAAGAAGCTAAAGATAATTTAACATTAGCTATATGCCTATAAAAATAATTATAATTTTATATAAACGATATAATTTATCGACGAGATGGATAATAAGATTTTTCTCTAGACACTTCTAACAATTATGGCTTTCACTTACTTAAAATTTAAATAAATATATGAAAATAAAACTAAAAATATTACTGTACTAAACATATCAACAAATAATTTATTTATTTTGGGGTTACTTTTTAGGGCCAATCCAATTACCCCCCAATAAGTGGTAGATAGGACCATAAATAGTTATTGATGTATGTGTGTGCCTGCTTGCTAGGCGTCTCTAATGCAACCACACTTTCCTACTTTTTTTGAACTATATATTCATATAAAAATTATACATTCATACAAAATCAATATCACTTTATGATGGAACATAGATATTCAATTTGGGAACCTATTTAAATCATATATTCATAGTGTGTAAAAATTTACAAGTTTATTCACTTTGAAACATTTTTATTTCAGATATATGTCTAAAATTTTATAGGGTTGAAACTCAATTACTTTTGTTTAAACTTTCAGACAGGTTAACCACAAAATTTATAAGTTCAGGTTTACCACAAAATTTGTGGGGGGGTGCTATCATTATTGCAAAAGAGAACAACAAAAAATTTGTTTGTTCAGAAAGAGAGAAACAAAAAGTTTTGTTTGTTAGTAAAGGGAGTAACAAATAAATAATAAAAAAAAAACATTTGATTGTTAAGAAAGGGAGCAACAGAAAGTTGTATTTGTTCAGGCTTTGTTGTATCCTGATAGAGAATTGTTTGTCGTCCCTTAAAGTTTATACAAGCAATAACTCTTGAAAGATAGTGATCAAACAATTTTCAATACAATCTATTTCATATGAGAAATGGAAATGAGGTAACTATTTCCAAACGGGTCAAAATAGGACCTAAGACCTTGGATTGTATGTTCATTGGATATGCTACAAATAGTAAAGCATGTCGATTTATGGTTCATAAGTCTGAACCGTAGGATAGTCAAGTGAAGGGTCTAAACGACCTTGGAAAGAACCAAAGGAGAATGTACTTAATAAAGAGATTCGGAGGCGTAGTAAATGTCAATGGACAAATTACTTCCTACGAGTTTGATTTTGTAACATTTCTTCTTGAAAATGAGTCTTTATATTCTAAAAGTTATGTCCTCTGTGGACTCATTCTCTTTGAGAAAAGGCTGTCAATAGTATGATAGATTCAATCTTGAGCAACCATACTTGAGAGTTGGTTGATCTTCCTCGAGGAAATAAACTTTTGGATTCAAAGTGGATCTACAAAAGGAAAAGAAAGTTGATGAAACTATTGACAAATACAAAGACAAACTTGTTGTCATAGGCTTTAGATAATAAGAAAGCCTTGTTTGACAGATAATAGCACTAACTAGGATTACATCAATTCAGATGTTAATTGCGCTAGTTGCGAAATATGGCCTTCAAATTCATCAAAATGGATGTGAAAACATTTTTATTTTAAATGAAAAATTGGAGGAAGAAATTTACATAGAACAACCCAAGGGCTTTGTGGTTCTGGTAAAGAAAAGAAAGTCTGTAAACTTGTTAAGTCACTCTGTGGACTAAAACCAAGCACCCAAATAATGACATGCTAAGTTTGACCAAACTATGTTGGCAAATGAATTCAAGATTAATGAATGTTATAAATGTTTTTACATTAAAGACACTCCAAATCACAAAGTTATTATTTGTTTTTTATGTTGATGACATTGTGATCGTCAAAAGAGACATTTTTGACATAAATACTACTAAACATATGCTAGAAAGTAACTTCGATATGAAAGACATTGAAGTTACTAATGTGATTGAAAATGTACTTGACAAGTTCAATCATTTGGATTTCAATATTGTCAAGACTCCAATAAATGTGAGATTTGTACTTCAAAAGAATGAAGGCAAAAGTGACTCACAATTGGATTGTGCTAAAGTATTGAGAAGTATGGTATATATCATGAAGTGTACGCGATTAGATATAACATATGC